TATCACAGCACTTCTGTGTCTTCAGCTGCTTTTTAAAAAATAAAAAAATTGTAGTGACTAGCAATGAAGCAAATATATAATACACCCCCCCAAAAAAAAAATACAAACACACATAGTGCACCCCCTAAAAAAAAAAAACAAACAAAACAAAACCAAAAAAACAACTGTAGGTATAAGTTCTTGACTGATAGTTCTTCAATTAGCTTTCACTTTGTATTATGCATTTCGTTTAACCTTTCCACCTTGAGTCCTCTGACTAAATTCCTGTACTTCATTGTGTGTTCAGCCTTAATCACTGTATCCTAATGGCTTATCTCATATGGACTATCAGTGTAAGATCAAGTATCATAAATCCGATTGTCCGCTGAAGCATGTTGATCTCTTGTTAATTTAATTTATGCTTTGAGAAGGTGAGAGATAAGATACACTTTTCTCCATGCAGGAATATTGGCGTGATTCAGAACAGAAGAATTCTTTTAAGTTGGGCGGGTAAAAGTTGTGTGCCTGTGGAGCACTTGTACTTAATCATACAGCTGGATGGTTTGAAACACCAGCTTTGCCCCAAGTCAGCTATGCCAAGCACAGGTCAGTAGGAGTCAGCTACTTGTGTCAGCCTTGGCATCAGTATGAACACCAAGGCTTGGTGAAGGGAAAATGAGGCATATGCTAGCAGTTCGTAATTAGGGTGGAGCCCAGATGAGGTACCTGAGCAAATCTAACAAGTCTTTGCTGAAAAAGGCGATTTTGTTCCATCTTTCTTCTGGCGGTATTCTCTTGCTTCTTGTGCCAGTTCTCAGCTCAATGACCAAATGATAGGTATCTATCATCTAACCTGTTAAAAAACCTGCCTGACAGAATAGCCCATCTTTTATCCTGTCAGTGAAGTGGCACAAGGGTAGGCACATCTGAGAGGCTTCTAGAGCAAGCTTGGCTGTGAGTCCAATAAGCAGTTGCTTATCTTGTAGGACTAGTTAAAAAGCAAAATCTCTTAAGTGCTTTAATAACCTATGAGAACTTGAATGAAGTTAGATGCATATCAAACTCTTACACAAAGAGGAATTTGGTATCTTCATTAAGATTGCTTAAAAACTTAAGTGTCTCCTAACCTTGCTTGTAATGTGAGAATGCAGACTTCTCTAACAATGCTAAGGGTTAATCCCCTGATACAAGAGGAGGTTGACTGTTTGATGTTAATCCAGTAGGACTTTAATGGTAATTTTTTGGGGCTGATACCTAAGCTCTAAGCTTGTCTGTTTCTTTGACTTTTGGCTAGAAGAACTAGTAGGCTTAAGGAATCTTTTTTAAGTTGTTGTCATTTTAACTGCCAGTATGCTAGTGACAGAATAAACATGAATTAACAGAACTTACTGTATCAGAAGGTACCAAATACTAACTTTGTTGTAAAATCATTTTGTACATAAAATTGCCATAGTAGTTTGTACTCTGCTCAGTCTAGTTTTCTGTCATTTATATGGGTAAACAGAGTACAATAAGCAGCAATAAATTTCAGAAATGCCAATAATGTGGTTTGTCTTGAAAATTCACAGAGATGATGAAGCATCTTCCATCTCCAAGTAGCTGAGTTAACGACAGTATCTGTTTATGCAGCACTAACGAGTATATGGGCTTTCAGTTGCAGTAAAAGTGACTGGATCAACAGCTTGTAATTGAAAAGAGTAGATTCTGATCCTATTCACAACTCTGCATGTTCCCTTTCACGTGTATTGCTCCAGGCTTGTTTAGCTTGCTAAACAATCAAGACTGGCTCTTGTTTTTTCAGCTTTTTCTGCTGAGTTGTTGAACTTGACCAGTTTGGTGAAGGAGTTACGAAGCAGCAGTAGCAAGATTAAGGTGGTGTTTCTCTTATAATTACTGAAACATCATTATTTTAATAGCAAGTACACTTTTTTTCTCACTTTTTTTTAATTTCTTTTAAAAGAAAGTACAGCTAGGAGGCAGCCAACAGATATAGGTGCTCAGTTCACACAAAAGGGGACTGGAAACTGAGGGCAGCACAAATGTGCTTAAGAATAGTGGTGATGTGTCACAGGGCATGATCCCTACCACTGGAGCAACTGCATCTTGCTCATCAGAGCCCTCAGTTTAGGCCAAGTTCCTGAGAGTGATGGCAGCTTTCAGTTCTTGCACTGCTGGGATGCTTGGGCATACCAGTAGATCAGGAGCAAGTAGTGTCCTTGCCTTCCAAATGGTGCAGTGGTGGAAAACTTGCTTCCACCAAGCAAAAGACAAGTGGAAGAGGTTCAGCAGGCTGCACAGCATCAGAAATAACTAGAAGGAGATGGACAGGATCTTCTGCAAGAGCCTGAAGATTCAAGAGCCCTGTGTATATTGAAAGAGGGGCAGGAAGAATGCATGTCAGGCTGCAAAATGGAGATCTCCACAGTAGTGAAGGGAGGAAGCTCATGGCTTCTGACACCAAAGGAGATTCCTGTATCCCATGAATATATGCATTTGTCACATAAGTTCATTGCACTGAAAGAAAACAAGTGGCTAGAAGCTCTGTACAGCACATAGGTGTGTGGGAAGATCTGCACAGACCTGTTCAGCCCTAACCCATCAGATGGCCAAGCTAAATATGAAAGCGTACAATAAAACTGAGGTAATATAATGGCTTGCTTCATCCAGAAGGGTCCTCTTTCTCCTGTCTCTCAGCGTCTGCTGCTTAGCCTGTACTAACTTGAGCAGACCCACTTCATAAGCTGATACAGTACATAAAGCTGGCAGAAAGCTAACCTAGCAAAAAGCAGGCAGTTTTCTGCTGCAGTAATGAGTTGAATAAGCATAGCAAGGCTCTAATGAGGGCTGGGTTGATGGTCCCTCTGCTCTTTCTCATGCTGTTCTATCCCTTTTACATACCCGCAATCTAAGTGGGGTTCTGCCTGAAGGGCATAGTTTGAGGTCATATTAATGCAGTGTGAGCAAAGAAATACTGATCAGCAGCCTGTTCAGAGCAGGAGGTCTGAGTCTGAGGTCTGTACTCTGTCAGGAGAAAATCATACATACACATGTGTTGTTAGTCTCATAGAGAAGCAGCTCTTCCCTGCCTGAGGAGGTGGGATTGTCCTCAGAGTGACATCACTAAGTGGATCTTTGTTTCAAGAATAGGAAATTCGTATTTTTCCCCTATGGAGAATTTTTGTCAGAGTGAATCTGTTATGTTCTATTTTTCCCTCTTACCTTGCTTGTCCACTCAGCTTTGCTAATGAGAAGACAAGTTTTGCATAGTTGTCGCTTAATGAGGGTACTGTTGGGATCCTCAGCAGATCAAACTGACTACATTCTGCATAACTTTGTTAAAAGTTTGTTTCAGTAATGTCTGTAATTATGACTGTACAGGAGGCAGAGCTGCTAATTTTGGAAGTTAGATCTTGATTGTCTTCACTTTTACAATACTCTCCTTTGACTAGTCAGCAGTGTAGTGACATGGAACAGTGGAGAAGAAAAAGTGAATTATTCTGGTAGCCTTAAGTCCTAATCCTTTTAATTTTATCATAACATCTGTGGGCTGTGTCTTGCATAATTTAGGGTTTTAGGGATGGAGGCAGAAGGAACAGAGTACCAATGTATCAAGTCTTCTAAGACCAATATTAAAAGGATCTGATCTGCTGCCATCGTAGTGCGACTGTAGGCATAAAACATGCATATGGAAATTGCTTTAATATCAAATAGACGTGGTAGGATTGACTTCAGAACAAGATACAGTATCATTTATGAAACAGTAATAGGGCTCACACAAGCAAATCTGCACCTATAAAAGTAAAGATGAATGTTTTACTGTAGATAGTGGTTTTTCCATAAATAGCCTTTGTCTAGACAGCCTTGGTGTTCAAGGTAGACAAGTCTAACAATTAAATGCTGTCTGTACTGAGGAACTAAATGGCAAAATCCACTGTGCATATTAAGAGTCCATTTAGACTATATGCTAGTATTTATGTACTTCATGATGAAATAACTGGTTACTGAACTTGTAGCATTTCTGTAAGCTTATTTTCTAGTAAATACATTTCAAAAAACAGAATTAGCAGCCTATTTTTAAATTGCAATTGCTTTTATCAATGTAATTTAGAAGTATGTAAATGGCTGTAGATAAGGTGTACATCTGTAATATGACATTATCTGTGACTAATTTTTTTTATGGACTTACTGAATTATTCTCTTGTACTTAGCAAGCCATGCAGCTTGGCATGTGTTTGTAACAGTTGTTTTCAATATTTTGAGGGATTATTTTCTCTTCAGTTAACTTGTGCAATTATTATTAGAAGGAAATAAAAAACAAAAACCTCTGCAGAACATTTCTGCCCTGGTTTGTGCAGTATTTGGTGGTGATGACTGGGTAGCAAGTCTGATCAGGGAACAGATTTGGCCAAAATCTGATCTGCCTACATAGTGGGTAAAAAAAATCTGAATATTGGTAATATTTCAAATCCTTGGCATTTGCAGGAGCTGTTGTCAGAAAGAAGCCTAACTTGAAGTAGTGGTGGTGCTTAGCTAATGCGAGAGGCTTTTAAAATCTTGGGTGCCATTCTAATTTTCTATTTGAACTTGAGCCCTGGTTGCCCATGTTAAAATAATGAACTTTTAAATCAGTGAATTTGTGATTGAATTTGAATTGAATGTGAATTTCTGATGGAAACCAAAAGATGGTGAGAAGTAATGGAAAATGGAGACCAAGCAAAAATTGAAGCCCTTTGAGCAACTGAGGAAGATTACCACTACTACAGAACCCAAACCACAAATCTTACCACCAGCTTACCTGCTGGCGACTTGATAAGGATAAATCCTGTTCTTTTCCACGATTTATCATTTAATCTATCCATGTTCATTTTTCCATTCTGTATGTCTGATCACACAACAACAGAGAGAATCCGCAGGGAGGCATTCAAATGTTGAAACCTGTTCAGTGCTACGGCAGGATGGCATCATTAACATGGAAAACTCATATTGCAGAATCATTCTTCAGTTATGTCTCTCAGTAGGTTTTGAGTAATATGGAATCCAGTAGATAGGTTGCACTGCTCTGAAGTTTATTTGTAATAGCTTTTAAGTGGCTCATTGAGATGAGCTAAGGCTGCAGAACTCTGTCTAAGCCTGTTTTGCTGTTAATAGAAGATATTAGACTCAGCTGAGTTGAAGTTCAGAGCTGCACAGGAGGTGACTTTATTGAACAATTTCCTATTGATCATCAATAGACGCACTAAATGAAAACTTGTATGTGACCCCTAGCAATGTAGTAAAGAAAGCTGGCATCAATAATTTATAGGATAACTTGAATTAAAATCAACTCCTCCAAGTAAAATGTGTCTAGATTGAATTTTAACACTTGTTTTAACACTTGTTTCAACACTAAATTTGGATTTCTAATCTTACCTTTCTTTCCTCTGAAACAGGAGGAAAGTTTCCTCTGCCAAACAAATTAGGACTTGCTTCCAGAAGCAGTAAATCTATTTGTAGAGGTTACGAACTGAATCATGATCTAACTAAATTGGCTAACTAAATTGCCAAGACTAATTGCAGTAACATGTAAATACACGTTTTTATATCATTGTTTGTGTATTACTGTGAAATGTTTGCAGCTATCAGCAACTTCAATTCTAAGGCTTATACAATGAGGAAACAAGCTACAATCTTTCTTTAATGTATTTTGCCCTTTGAAGTGGTCATGCTTTTAGCAGCTTACTGGTCTCAAATTAGTTACAGCTGTTAAGATAAAGATGCATTTAACACTGGACTTTGATTTTTCTTTTATTTTTTTTCTAATTGTAGGTAAGCAAGTAAGAACCAAATTGTCACAAGCCTTCAATCACTGGCTTAATGTTCCAGAAGATAAAATACAGGTACTAACTAATTATTTTTACAAGGCTCTTACCTTTCTTCCATGATTGTCAGCTACAGATTGTTCTTAGTGTAATGCATTTAAGACTTCTGATCATTTACAATACATCATTCCTGAGTACCTGAAAGTACAAGTTAAGGAAAATAGCCAAAGCTTTGCACTAAAGTTATGGTTTAACACTGAAGTTATGATTTCAGTGACTTGTCTGAAGAACAATAGTTACATGCTTTCTACCGAAGCTCAACCTTCTGAGTGGTAGAAGGAGCAACTAGTATTGTTACTCACTTCAGTTATTAACAATGGGAATAAGTTTTCAATGACTTGTGAAGGAAGCTGGACAGTTACTTTGTAAGCTCTACAAATACAGTGACTGAGAACAAAGTCCTATGATTTTGACACAAGAATATCAAAGCCAGTAGTCAAGCCAACCTTTAAACCTTTATAAACCACTTCTTGTTCCGGGCCTTAAATTGCAGACTTCTACAGTTTAGAGCCCTTATTACCCACTGTGAAGCACTTCATCGAGAATAATCCTTCCCTTTTCTTTTTCTTTTGGACAAATCTATGCAAGATGCATGGCTGTATGTTCAAAGGCTGTGGCTTTTGAAATGCAAAATTTTCCTTTTGGCTAGACTACAGTTACGCCAAACTGCATACTTAGGGTGCAAGAGATTCTCTGTATCCAAGGTAATGTAGGGAATTCAAATAACTGTTTTTTTCTTGACACCCATCTGGTCCCTAAATAATTTCATTAATGAGCAGGTAGGCCATTAGTGTTTGTAAAGGAGTCCTCTTTAGGATGGGCGAAGTGTGATGCTTCGTAGTGCTCAAGTAGCAAAATCCATCTGTTGAAAGCTACATTGCAGCAGCTGCTGGTGAGTTAGGTTTAGTTTTTAAGAAAGCATGCCGGTCTGCTTTCATTATGAAGTGCAGTTTTTTCACTTCCTCAGACAACTTCCTGTTGTCTTCTAGAAAATAAGGGGTTTTTTTTCTGCTGTCTGAACTTCCTCCCTCCTCACATTCAACTCTAAGATATTTTTGATGCTGTCTTTAATGGAAGTTCAAGAGGTAATTCGCAGTCATGAAGCACATCCTAAATTATTTCAATTCAACCTTAAATATCCAGAAACTGCAGGAGTCCACAAACTAAGTGATATGAAATAGACTAATGAGAAATGCTAGAATAGGCTTATCTAATGATGAACTTTCCTGACAGTATTGGGAATGACATAATGGACTGAGTCAGCATTCAGAAAAATAGGTATTGCAATGTTGCTTTTTATAAGTACTTTATCCTTCATGATTTTAAAATCAATAGACAACAGTATCTTTACAAGTTGAAGTAGGCCTCACTTCTATCTCAAAGCTGAGTAATTAGTGCTCAAATAGTTTGCTCTCAGAGTCATTATCTTGGGCAAGCAAACAATTAGATTGCTGGGTTTCAGGTTTTAACCTTTTGGATAGTGATTACTGAATAGTAGATAGTTTGCTGGAAAAAATGCAGGAGATAATCATTTTCTCTTCTTGTAATAGGTTATTATTGAAGTGACAGAGATGTTACACAATGCAAGCCTACTTGTGGATGATATTGAAGATAACTCAAAGCTACGACGGGGCTTTCCAGTGGCACACAGTATCTATGGAATTCCATCTGTAATCAACTGTGCTAATTATGTGTATTTCCTTGGCTTAGAGAAGGTTTTAACCCTTGATCACCCAGATGCTGTTAAAGTTTTTACTCGTCAGCTACTGGAACTCCATAAAGGTCAAGGCTTGGACATTTACTGGAGGGATACTTACACCTGCCCTACAGAAGCTGAATACAAAGCTATGGTACTGCAGAAGACAGGCGGTCTCTTTGGATTAGCTGTAGGCCTCATGCAGCTCTTCTCAAATTATAAGAAAGACTTAAAACCACTTCTTAACACACTTGGTCTCTTCTTCCAAATAAGAGATGACTATGCCAACCTGCACTCCAAAGAATATAGTGAAAACAAGAGTTTTTGTGAAGACTTAACTGAAGGCAAGTTCTCATTCCCAACTATTCATGCAATTTGGTCAAAACCTGAAAGTACACAGGTGCAAAACATTTTGCGCCAAAGGACAGAAAACATAGATATAAAAAAATACTGCGTGCATTACCTCGAAAACGTGGGTTCATTTGAGTACACTCGGAAAACACTGAAAGAGCTTGAATCTGAAGCCTATAAACAAATTGAATCACTTGGGGGAAACCCTGAGCTTGTAGCGCTAGTGGAACAGCTGAGCAAAATGTTCAAAGAAAATGACAATTAATCTCCTGGGGATGAATGGAAGCTTTTCTTTTTTTTTTTTTTTAAACAGGTAAAAGGTTATCTGAAAGGTGTGACAGTCAGTCTCACTTACAACTACTGTGTTGCCACATGGCAAAGATGTACGTTGAAAATAAATCACCGATTATGTGAAAATAATCACTGAGTACTGCAGTATACCTTATATATACAGTCTTAATTGTACCTGCTTGCAGATGTCTTCAAAACATACTAGAATTGAAACAAACTTTGAATATGGATTTTTACACAAACATTGGCATTACTTCAGCCCTAGAAATTTCACAGGCTATAGTATATCTTCAACAAACTGTAAGTTTCTGGCTGAAAATCTTTATTAAATTAAATCTGATTGACCCAAGTGGCTTGCGTGTTTTTAAACAACACTCTAGTAAACCAAAATATATGGTGTTCAATAAAAAAAGATGCTCACAACCTCATTGCATATACTAATGTTGCATTATGGATGTTAAGAGTTGTGAAAATCAGATAGATCTTCTTAGTTCTGATAGATAGATAGATATACTTAGTTCTAATGTGAATATTCTATCCAGTATCTGAGGATATTTCAGGGGAATACAAATTGTTAAAATGCTTTATGTCCAAATGAGACTAATGTTTAGATTGAGAAGGGAGCTTAATAGAAACTTCTATTTATCTTAGGGAAAAACTTCCATCACTTTCATTTTGAATTTGCCACCATTTTCAGTTCTGCATTGAATAATTTCAGTTGACTGGTTTTTGATCATTATGTTGTTGGGTTTTTTTTTGGTTTTTTTTGTTTTTTTTAAGTCAAATATTTTCTAGCATGGGACTGAAACGTAAGCATTAGATCTCAAAGATGTAACTGCAAGTAGCAGCATAGTAAGCTGCTAGTAGGAATTTAACGGGATTCATAACAGGTAGCTTTAAGATGCTGTGAATTACACTGGTTTCTCTAATCTCTTATTGTAATTGAGAGAATTTTCCAGGAATTGATTCAGATTTCACAGCGTTCATGTTCTGAATTCATATCAGGAGGCTGTTGTAGGTATCTCCACAGAGACAGTAGTGACTTCTGGCTAAACTGAAATGTAGCATCTTGTTCTACAAGCTGTAATACCCCTTCAGTTTAGTTAATTGCTTAAATACTGTTTAAGATTGTGTAGACAGACATACCTGCATGGCACTAAGAACTTGATTAGAGAAGTAGCTTGAAAAGTGACAAAAATCTCTGCTCATACGTGTACACACATTACAGAAATGTTTGTTTCCTAGCTGAGGTGGCTTTAATTAGGTGCAGTTCTCTTCATATTTGTAGCCGTACAAAGCTTTGCTCTGATGTAGAGAAGTAGTGTTTCAGATCAAAGGTGGGACTGGTGCTATCTGCAGCGATATTAAGCTGACAGCATGCTGTCACAGCATACTCTGAAAAGAGATGGCCAGAGATAGTTGGCTTCTAACTGCTGAAGAATACTTGTGTGCATCTGTTCACTTATTGTACCTGCAAGCAGGTAGAGCCACTACCTCAGCCCACTGAGAAAACTAACCGAAGATGCTTGCCGAAGGAAAACATTGCAGCAACCCCTGTGATTCTTCCAAAAGTGATTAAGCATGAAAAAAATTGGGATGGCTGCTTTAGTCAGAAGCATTCCATACTTATAGATGATGGGTTATTCCTTTTATTTGCATGCTAAGGTGAGAGCTTTGTCTCTGCTTTGCGATTAGACACAGAATAGTAGCCTTTTCACTGAATGGATCTGATTGCCAGGATTGAATAGCTTAAAGTTGGTGAAAGGTGTCTTTTATTTAATGTTAATGACAGTAAACTGCATTTCTTGACTTGAAGTGCATAGTAGCAAGCCTGTAAATTCCTGGTATTTTGATGGGGAAAAAATACCTTCTGTAGCAAAATGCAATATTTATTTTGTGCCATGTCTTGGGAATTTCTAAGCACTGCTGCAGCTGATGCTGAATGGGGGACAACACTGAAAAAAACTATTGCCAGGAAAATCTCCTAGTCTTAGTCTTAAAAAGTCCTTGTCCCTACTAGGATATTACAACCAGTATATATGCAGTGCAAAGTGCACTTAGTGGCATTTAATTTCTATTCAATTGCTGGATGTAAGCAGTTTTGTATAATCAAACTTTCTTGATGATGTAGGGCTTTTATTGTTTCAAACTTTTTTTTATACTAGCCGGCACTTCTGATCTTTAATTTATTCTGTAATTTGTTCTGACAATTTATCACAGTGTCATCCAGGAATCACAGAATCACTGAATCGTAGAATGGTTTGGGTTGGAAGGGACCAAAGCCCATCCAGCCCACCAAGCCCCATCCCTGTGCCATGGGCAGGGCTGCCACCCAGCAGCTCAGGCTCTCAAGGCCCCATCCAACCTGGCCTTGAGCACCTCTGGGATGGGGTTTCTCTGGGCAGCTGTACTAGGGATCCCCCACCCTCTGAATAAACAATTTCCCTCTTCTATTTTTGCATATTAACTTTTCAGTTTAGTACATAAACTTTAAGATACTCAGTTCACAGTTGTGCAATTTGCAGTGCGCCTCACAGGGCACAGAGGAATAACTGTTTATCACTTCACCTGGTAATGCCCTTTTCCACTCAAACCTTTCTTCTAAATGTTCACGTCTCCAAGTTCACTCTTCAAGCCCAAGTGGCATTTTCTGTCACTCGACTTAACTGCTGGGGAGGCACATATGGTATACGTTAGATGAACTGCAGCAAACACACTTCCTTCTGCTGCACTAGGAGTGCTATGCTACATATTGATTCTCTTGCCTTTTCTGCTATTCTATGTGTAATAGACTGATGAACTTTGAGCTCACAATCCCTCATTTAACTCCAGAATCAGGTTTTAGAATCTAATCTTTTGCAAGTTTGTTTTACAGCAAGATACAATCTCCAGTTAAAACATATCACTGCTATTATGCTTATTACTGTTCTGTAAGTCTGTTACTTGGTTATTTTTATCTACATACATTTACCTACATTCCTCTGTTCTTGCAGTTGTGATAGGATGGTGCCATGTAGCTTTTCTATGTACAAATCTAGTTCTTTCTTCCAGTGCAGCTCTAAAATAACTTCATTAATAAGATGTACATAATGTGAGGGAAAAGCTTAATCTGCAAAGTAAACGTGAGTTTGTGTAAAACAGTGGAGGAATAAGACTGCATGAGAAATTGATTAGAAATGGCAGAGGTTAGGACCTGATAAGCATCAAATTGGATGCTTACTACTGAGTCTATAATTTGAGATGCAATAGTTATTACTGATTAGCAGCTAACATGTGTGCAGACACTAGCTTCTAAGGCTAGTGGTTACAGCGCTGTAATGCAGGTTGTTAGACTTGATATTCTGTTTTCTCTAAATTCACTTTCCCCAGTGTTTTACACAAAGCTTTAATTCTGTATTTTTACTTGCATCTGTTGCACATCTTTGTTCTGTCTTACTCTCATATTCAGCATTTCAAATTTGATATAATTAAGAAACATACAGGAAAGTTAGGCTAACAGGTTATCACGCTAAAGAAGAATGGATGGAAAGCTTACCCTTGTCCTGGGCTCACTGAGAAGACTCCAAGAGGAGGGATCTCCAAAGGAGATACTTCTCCAGTGGTAGTCAGCTCTTAAATGGGGTCCAGGAGAGGTGGAGCCAGGCTCCACCCCTTCCAGTAGCACAGGAGAATTGCCTTCACCTGTGCTCCCAGGGCTGACTCACTGCTCGCCTCAGGTGGTCAATCAGAGGCTCATGGTGTGATTCAGCAGTTCCCATACACGTGGTGATTCTTTTCCTTTCGTACTTCTGTTCTGCTACTAATACCAGAGCACACACAATACCTTCAAACTTTTTTTGTTCCAGGACAAACAAAGTAAACTTTAAATTTTGGCTTTTCCTGTGCCTTCATAAAAGTAATCCAAGATTTTCTGCAGTCGTGAAATGCCTGAAACTTTTTCTCCAGGAAGTTGAAGCTTGTAACATCTCATACTGCCATACGTTATTCTGGTCCCATATAGTTGGAGCTTCTTTACCTCCCTTTACCACTTGCTTTCAACACTTACTTTGCCTTGATTGTAACACTCATTAGCAAGTTAAACTGTTTCACAGACACATCTAATCCAAGGAAAAGGAAGTTTTGGGTTTGTTTTTTGGGGTTCTTTTTAGTTGTTTTTGGGTTTTTTTTGTCTGAATTAATAATTCCTCTCAGCAAAAGCCTTGTGAATGCCAAAGTTGGCAGCTAGATGGGGTAAAAGCAGAGCCAGGGAGGGAATATGAGGGGGTAAGAATACCTATTTAAAGCTCCTGAGGGTACCTTATGTAATTTCACCTCATTTTGCAGCATCTCATTCACTTTGTTAGGAAATGCAAGAGAATGTGTGTTCAGTTTCCCTGTATTTCCCTTCTTGCTTTCCAAATGTAAGATATATTATAGATAGTTTAGTCTGTCAGTTATGTAAATAACTTGAATATATCTTAAGGTTTTGATTAAAAGTACAGATAAAGAGTATGTTATTCTATTACTGACTAATTTTCCTTCTGTAACAAATTTTCTATTCTTAAAGCCAAGGAAACTTAATCTGTTGCAGGCTGACTTGATCATCACATTAACGCCCTTCCTGGATAAACCCTATTAGACCTCAGCACCAGAGTTTACCTTTTCTGCAGCATTTCCTTTTAAATGACTTTAGTATGAATGAAACTTGGTGATGAGGTGATGAAATAGGAACAAATCATTGTTTTGATGCTTGGCGACTTCTTTCTTTAAGGCTTATCAATGTTACAGCAGAAAATAAAGGACTTTGTGCAAATATGTTAATTCAGGGATGGTTGCTTTTTAATTGTGTTTTTCCCACATTTTTCTTCACTTCATCTCTATCAACATATTTATCCTTGACACTGAACCTAATGGTTCATCTGGTGGGGTCAGGAGTAATCCATGACTCATGTAACTCAGGTTACATCCTGATAATGCTTCTCACCCATGCGTCCTATGAGCAAGTTCTTGCTTAGCTCACTGGAAAACCATTTGCTGAGCAACCTGGTTTACTGCAGCATAAAGAATGGTGGGATGCCCCAAAAAGGCCTAACGTGATGCTGCCAGGGAGAGCTCTGCAAAACCTGGTGGAACTCTGGTGTAAAGAGAAACCTTAGATATCTGATTTTCTGCTTTTGAACTCAAAAACAATCCAACAATCTATGAAATTACTCTCCACTCCCTCAGTATATGAATTATGCGTGGTGCCAGTGAGCACTTCCATCTTCCCTGGATCATAATGGATGATCTTTCACTCTTGTAATGTTCTGGTTGTCATTTCTGGACCATATGGTAAAATGTACTATATGACTAAAGTAGTAACTGAAGTCTGTAAAAAAAAAAAAAAGTCCAACTCCTAAAATTTTGGTTATGCTGTTTTGAAATACACATAAAAACTGGCCTGTTGTCTTGCTGTCATCCAGGAGATGGTAGCCTGCAGTGAACTTCTGCTCACTGAGGGAGGAATAACAATTCTGCACTGGTGGAAGTTGTTAAGCACCCAGGTGTGCTTGGCACAGTGGCACTGTGAGCAGTGGGAGGGAGTTTCTCAGAGGGAGAAAAAAAAAAGTATTTGCAAGGAAGAAAATTCTCTAAAAATATAATTACAGGTAATCATGGAGTTAATATATAGAGACATAGAACTAAAACCACAGGAAAACTGTTGTAGTTGACTGAAGAGCCTATTGCTGCTTGCGGTCTCTTCATGTTGGGGGTGAGGTAGAAACATACAGATTAAAGTAAAAACTGCATAAAGGAACTGTCAGTGTTATTTCCAAAAATGTAAAAGCGATGCTATAAAAGCTTCCCTGTGTTTCATATCAATTAAGATAATTAGTTCAAAAAATTTTGATGTTAAATCTTTTTTTTTTAAGGCATTCATAAAATGCAAGAGTTATTAAGTCTAGGTAACAAGATAAAGATGTTACACTGATCTTGCTGCTTGCCTTGTCCTGTTTCTGATTTAAAAAAAAAAAAAGTACATTGGATCAACTACACCTATTTGTTGATGACAGTATTAAAACAGAAGAAATAAGACACCCACCCCCAAAAAAAGAAAAAAAAAAAAATCAGTATCAGCTTAGAAATGCTAAATACAAAACAAGTCAGTGATACACACGTAGACTCTCAGACTGCCTGGATAATCTATAGGCAAACTGCTGGGTGAGAAAGATGGTGAACAATACTTCAAACGCCTTTCCCAACGTGCAGCCAAAGGTAGTGAAACTTAACTCTTCTGTTCTGGCCTTCTGATGCTCAGCATACTGAGTTTTGTCCCACATAAATATGGAATTTAAGAAAACATCCTGCCAGTAATTTATAAGGGCTAATAAAAACCTTGCAACAGGATTTGTAGTATGTACAATTAAGAATGTCCCATGTCATCAGGACTGGCGTTGGAAGCATAGTGGAATGCTGAGAGGGAAATTAGCAGTAAGGTAAGTGTACAGCAGCACTTACATTCCCTTTGTAAGAACATACATGCTTTTAATGCTGCAGCTGCTGCCCAGAGTTGTCTGGTAGCCTCCAAATACAATACAGCAAGAGAGTATGACGTACATCCCTGCATGCGCATGAAATGAAGTAGTAATTCATACTACAGAGTTTGACTTCATGTTTTATTTGGTTGATTTAAAGACTCTTAATGTTTAAAAAAAAAAAAAAGAAAAAAAAAAAAGAAAAAGAAAAAACACAACCAAGGAGAGCCCGGTGAAAAGTGATTGGTTACAATTACAGGACTGTCTGCAAATCCACCCAGGTTTCCAACTGAAAATGCCTCTAGTGATTCAGACTGGTGTATCTAACAAAGAGGATAAACCAAAGTAACGCTATTTCCCATTCATAACCCGGATGAATTTCAGCTCCCCATGCTAAGACACGTTCTCAGGTTAGTACTTAGGAAGTAACAGCCACTGACTCGCAAGTACAGACCAGGAGGACTTGGTACCACCGCTTTTGTCGTTGTACCACCATCTACGTCCACGTAGCTTCAGCATCGCCGACGTTGTTCCAAGACTGCCCCCTGCGGGAGAGGAACAGGCACAGGAACCCGGAGGAAATGGCAACGCCAGCAGCGCACTGATGCGCTGTATACTTAGGTCTTACTATCCAAACCACTTTGTCTGGCACATACTAGTGCTACCAAAGACTTGTAAGCAGCGTCACAGAACCAGCTGAGCTGCCTGCCTAAAGAACATGCAGAGTTACTTAATGTCAGGTAGTAACGGCAGAAGCACAACACTGGAACAGCCTCTTTGTTACCGGCACAACAGTTTCAAGTCCTTGTGGTTCCAAAGTTGAGGCAAATATTGTTTTAATTAGCCAGCAATTGCTACTTACAGAACGCGTGCACGGCCGTCAGCTTCAATCTGTGGGTACCGGGACACCCTACTGGACACCCCCTGCAGGGCAGCGCTGCGCAGAGCCAGAGGAGAGGCGTTCACATCCCGCACGAGGCTGCCGTCCGCCCCGGGGCGGGGAGCACAGCCAGCACCTCGCACCGCGCGGCGCCGCCCAGAGCAGGGCGGGTGGCACTGAGCGGGCGGCGCCGCTGAACGCCATTACCCAGAAGGCTGTCTGGCGGCACCGCCTCGCGACTATGATTCAGGCGTATGGCCGGCATAGGGCGGCGCTGCGGCCGTGCGGCCAATGGCAGCGTGCCGTCCGACGAGGCGGGGCGGGAGGTAGGCGTCCGGCTGCTGGGCGCGGAAGCGGGCTCGGGGCCGGCGTGCGGTGGGCCGCGGCTGCCGGCGGATGTTCTCCATACGCAGCCACCAATTGAGCGGCTGTGTGGCCCCGGCCGGCGCCACCCTCCCTTCCCGCAGCCGTCGCCCCCGGCCGAGGGGCTGCCGTTTGCTGTAACGCCCGGGGCCTGGGGCGCCCGGAGGCTGTGGGCTCTTAGTCGCCACCAGCCCGCTCCGTGGGGAGGAGCGCTGGGGCGGGCGGGCGAGGCTTACCTGCGGTCACCGCGCTGCTGATCCGTGCGAGGAGAGTCCGCTGTAGCGGCGGCGCCTCGGGAGTGTTAAGGACGTCGGTTCCGTCACTGCGGGTGTGTGAGGACCGGGATGGCCGCCTGGGTGCCCGCTGACGCGCTGGGCAGGAGAGTGCTGTGTGGCACGGAGTACGGCACCGTGCGCTACGTCGGCAGCGTCCCGCCCCATGCAGGTAAGCAGCGCCTGGCCAAACAGCTCGAACGGTGGCCAGCTGCAGTTCTAATGGTGCTTTTCTTAATTCAGCTGCGGCAAGTGGAAGCTAACAGTTTACGCGTTTCATACCTGCGTGTATCTTTGTGTAGATATGGCAACTTCTAACTCAGGTAAAGTTTGTTTACAAGGCTAAGGAGCCTAAGAAGTACTTCTGGTTGGAGGTGGTTACAGTTTCTTTACTACCAAAAGCTCTTAGCACCTCTTTTTTTCATTAGATCTCATCACCTGAAAGAAGGTCGTAGCGAGGTGGGGTTCAGCCTCTTTTCCCTGGTAGCAGTGCTGGGATGAGAGGTAGTCGCCTTAAGTTGCAACCTTAAGGTTGAGATTGGCTATTAGGAAACAGTGCTTCTCAGAAAGAGCAGTGAGGCACAGGGTGCCCAGGGAAGTGATGCAGTGGTCCCTAGAGGTGTTCTGGAAACACGTGGATGTGGCACTGAGTGACGTGGTTGGTGAGCACAGTGGGATGGGCAGACGGTTGGATGGTGTTACTGGTCTTTTCTAATCTGAGTGATTCTGTGAACGGTGCTTGCTGATCTCTCTGTGTACAGACAGAGTGTTAGAGGGAGGCAGTCAGCAGTGAGAGACCAACAGTCTGGGCACTCCTGTGATTCTGTACTCCAGTGCTTGGAACCAAATAAGATTCAGCTCTGTTTGCTGAAAGACCTGACCAGTTCAGTTGTGAGAGCACGCTATGCCATCTTTGAAAAAGTAATGATGGGATGGGAAGATTGCTTAATGCTTGGAGGTGACTAGCATTGCGTTCAGTTCTAGAAGGAGCAAGAAAGATGGCCAGGGAACCATAGGTTCATCATCCTCACCTCACATCACAGAAGGATCGTGAGCACATTCGCCTGGAATCTGTTTCCAGGTGTATGAAGGACAAGATGGTAATTGGAATACCTTGACCTTTGTAAAAAATGAAAGGTCTTGCTGTGATTATATGACTAGAAATATGGATGAAGAGAATGGGGGATGTAATATTCCTAAACTTTAATAAGACTTTTTAGACAATCTCTAATAATAATAATAATAATAATTGGAAGCTGGAGAAATACAAACCAGCTGAAAAGACTATTAGGCGGATTGAAAGTCCGCTGGTCTGTCAAGCAGAAAAGTGATAATCAATGATTTGACAGCTGCCTGATAATATGCGATTAACCCAGAACCAAACTCTGGGATTATTATTGTTCAACATCTTCATTAATGTCTGGAAATGAACAGAGTTCACTTTTAACTGTCTAATGTAACAAAAAGCAGAACTGCAATACAGGCCAAGCTTAATGAACTTTAGATTTGGGCCTAAGAGATTCTAGAGGTATGAATTTCCACATGTAGTGTGAAATAAACCCATGTATCAATACAAACTGGCAAACACTAGTAGCTTACAGAGCATGCTGCAAAGGACTTGATAGTTTATGTGGGTGGATGTGAACCAACAGTGAGCTTTGACACAGGCAAAGTGTGCGTTGTACTGGGTTACCATAGAACAATGAACGTGGCCAACAAATTAAGGGAATCTGTTGCCCCCTTCTGAGGGCAGATGTTCTTTGTAAGTTTGCATTCCGTATAATGTATCTGGTTTGAGCCATTCTGGTGCAAGATGAATGAGGATAAACTGTAGAGTATCCAGTAGAGAGCTGCCCAGAGTGTCAAAGCTGTAAACCACACGTCCCATGTAGACACGTCAAGGGAGCTGGGCTTGGGTAGTGTGGTAAAGAGCAAAATTAAGTGACATTCTAATAGTAGCCTTACAGCCTTTTGGCAGACAGTTATGAAGATGACAGAGGCAAATTCTTCTTGCAGGTATTAAATTATATAATAATGGGCAATAGCCACAAATTGTGTCATGGAAAGTTCGGATTTGACGACCAGAAAATCTTTTTAAGTACAGAAGTAATGCAGCACTGAAACAGGCTACCCAGAGAGGTTGAAATCTCTCAAAGATCTTCAAGATCTGGCTAGATAGAAACTTAGCTGAGTAACTTGGTCCAGGACTAGATATAATCTCCTGTTTTTTGTGGAGAGGCTAGGTGAACTTCAGAGGTTTGTTCCATGCTTCTGTGTCTATGATGCCATAAATATGAAAACATAGTACAATATTTTCCAGGAATTTGGCTTGGAGTGGAGTGGGATGATCCTCAGAGAGGAAAACATGATGGTACCTATGAAGGAACGCAGTATTTTAAATGCAGGTGAGTTTATTCCTGGTGTTAACATGTCATGCACATTGGCAAAATGGCCACAAGAAATACACCTCCTCAATTTTTATGGCAAATCATGTTGTTATCAGTTTGCCAGTTTTTAAAAAGATAAGTCTGAACATTGCAACCAGCTATGCCAGAAAAGCTGTTGCATAGTTATCGATCAGTTATAGGGATTGCAATGCCTAGAAAGTAGGACTGATGGTTTCAGGGGTATGTCATAAAATGTAATTGTTTTTTTATATTGTTACTCCTAATGTTACCTTGAGTAGCCCTTTACAGTCTACTTCAAAAAGTGAGTCAGTATGTGCTACTTACTTCTCTATTTAAGTTAAATGTTGATCATTATTAACTGTCTTAGATACAGTTAATAGATAGTTGGTTTGCATTTAAGATGGCTTTCACGCATATTGTTATGGCAAAATAGCAAATTCCTGTTGATTATCTGGATTCACTTGTACCAGTGAGTGAGTATTAAGTTCAGTTATTTTTAATGCATGGAAAATGCAGTGTAGTTGTGTGGCCTTTTTAAAAATTATTTTAATAAATTTTTAATATGTCTATGCACATCATATTTAAGCTTGAAGACTCAGACATTTGAAACTGTGGAATGCAGGTCTTCAGGGCCAATGCTAAAAGCAGCAAGCTGTTGATTTCTGTCTCAGGGGATACAGCAGCTGCTGCTAAAAGCTTTGAGTTTTAGGACAAAAGTAAGAATTAAGTGGATGAATTCATAGAAGAAAAGTTCATCGGTGACTCTTAAAATATTAAGGGCTACTAGCTCAGCAAGCTCCTGGAGTGATAGAGAATACAACAACATTTCATGGCTGTATCACAGAAATACTTGACCTGCTCTCATATTTTTCCTGTTTCCTAGTGCCTACTTTTGAAGATTATGTGTGGTGTTATGTGAATTGTTGTTTCTGACCACAATATGAAGTGACAAAACAAGAAAATGGATTAAAAGTTGTCTGTAGTCTTGCAGCCTTACTTTAGGATGGAGTTTCTCTTTGCTTTATCAAAAAAATGTAAGACTAAAAGGAATTCCCCCTTGTAATTTACATAGATTAAGTTATTGGCAATAAGATAAGCAATTTTTTTTTTAAACATTAGTGAATGCAAGTCAAAAGAGTACCTGAATTCAGTGATTCCAAAGATTTGTTGTGATTCCTTTCCTGCCTCTGACATTGGCTAATAGCAGGTGACTGGATGAGTGTGAAAGAACGAGTGCATAGTAATCGGTTTTTCAGGGTATTCATAGTTTTGGCTAATCATGGTTCAAAGATTTTTCTGAGCCAGAGATGGCATGTTTGTATATCCACTTTATTTTGCTTTCAATGAATAATTCACCAGAAAGAATTTGTTATGCGAATTTCCTCTGAAAGATTAATTAAAAACATGTAGTCATTGTGCCTGTGTTTGCTAACTCTAGAGCTTGTGTTTTCAGCTAGTGGAAATTAAGATTGTTTCCATTTCACACAGAATCATACACAGAATGGCCAGGGTTGGAAGGGACCTCAAAAGGATCACAAATCTCCAACCCCTCTGCCACATGCAGGGCCACCAACCTCCCTATTTAATACTAGACCAGGCTGCCCAGGGCCCCATCCAGTCTGGCCTTGAACACCTCCAGGGTTGGGGCATCCACAACCTCTCTGGGCAGCCTGTTCCAGCACCTCACCACTCTGTAATGAATTTGCCCCTGACATCCAACCTCAATCTTCCCTCCCTCAACTTAAAACCATTTCCCCTTGTCCTGCAGTTGTCAATCCCTTTGAAGAGTTGACTCCCTGCCTGTTTGTAGGCTCCCTTTAGGTACTGAAAGGCTGCACTGAGGTCACCCTGCAGTCTTCTTTTCTCCAGGCTGAACAAGCCCAGCTCCTTCAGCCTGTCTTCATAAGGAAGGTGCTCCAGTCTCCTGAATTATCTTTGTGGCTCCCCCTGGACCCTCTCCAACATCTTCCTGTCTTTCCTGTACTGGGGACTCCAGACCTGGACACAGTACTCCAGATGGATCCACAAGAGCAGAGTAGAGGGGGACAATCACCTCCCTGTCCCTGCTGGCCACGCTTCTTCTGATGGAGCCCA